GCGATGCAGAGAACTGACCCATGGATGGATTTCCAAAATAAGGTCCCGGCTGTTGCATGTTGAACTGAGGACGGAACTGAGGTCGAGACTGAGGCCGTGACATCCGTTGCGATCGCCAAATTGCCGTTTGCATGGGCCCACACCATCGAGGGAAGAACGGCAGCTCTTGTCGTACTGGTTGGGCAGGAGCGCCCGGATCAGCTCGGTTGCATCCAGGCACGGGGGATCTGGAGCGGTCCGACTCTGCCATGGTTGCGCAGGAAGGTTCGTTTTGGTCGCTGAAAAACTGACTGCAATTCAATGAGAGTAAGGCAATTTAGACCTCATATGTATCATCCAAGAACATCCCAAAATGCAAAGTTAACCCATGAGTAACAACAGCGAGATGCCCTTCCAGCAAGAATAAACACAAGGAAAAGAGGAACAAGGGCAAAAGAAGCAAAATTGAAATCAGTGACGTTGGAGCGAAAACAGATTGAAGCAACCGTGCATTTTGGTCCAGAGCTTTTGTCCAGGGAAGTCCTAGAAAGTCAATTCGGAGTCCTGTTTAGGCCGAATATCGCTAAAATTACAAGAAGCATTCTGTGTCAGACTAAATGGTCAGCCTCGATGACGTCGCTCCTGATTGCTGCGGTAGTTGCAGTCTTCTGAGTCGGTGTCACCTATGTCGATTTCCTTGGGCTTTTTGTCGCTTTTCGTGGGGCCTTTGAGGTCAGCCCATTTCAAAGCTATGAAGTGTAAGCCCACGTGGTTGCTGTGGGCAATCGTGTACTTCTCGGACGTGGTGGCTATGCCTTTGTCGCCCACGTTGACTTGGGCTTTTTCGTTGCCACCAGCTCGAAAGGCGATGTGCTCATAGGCTCCTCTACACATTGCGCCCACGGTGACGTCCTGTTGGCCTTTGCCCTTTTTCTCCATGGAATCAAGGAGGGCCGTTTCAATCCAAGTCGGAATTGTTTTGTCCGCATTGGAGATTTCTCTGCCAAGATAAAATGCCCCAAAAGTGGGTAAGTGGCACTTCTGTGGATTCTTATGGTAAGACCAGTTGGCTGGTCTGATCTTACCTTCGAGGAGGATCAGTTGAGCGGTTTTGATGGTCGTGCCGTGACAGAGTGCCCAGGTGTGATTGTGTTGATTGTCGAAAGGAGGTGGCATCGAGAATCGACTGATTTCTGGTAGTGGCATAATGGGTGCAAGCATGTTGGTATGCGGAAGTTCACGGACATAGCAGGTGGAGAGGTCGTAGTCCGGAAGGAGGTTGGTGCTGAAGAACAGTTGGACAGCCTTTTCAAGTACATCACCTGGAATTCTGGGATCGACCTGATGGAGCTGTTCCCTCGCAGCATCGTATTCATCTTGTGGAATGGAGGTGGTCGGCTGAGGACGTTCTTCAGCTTTCAGCTCGTTGGCAGCTCGCATCCTGTCTGGATGATTCAAAGCATGCTTGATATGACGAGCCCATTCCTCTCTCGAACCATCTTGAAGATTGATGGGAACATGTCCTGGGGGGACGGCACTGGTGGAGGCACGAGATTGGATTGAGCCTGATCTGTGTGGAGGTTGACGTGAACGGTCGGAGGAGAATGCAGTGAGTGGTTTGGTGGAAGACTTGTAGGAAGAGTCATAGTGACTGTGGTGTTTGGAGGAGGCTTTGGGATAGTCAATCCAACCCGATGGATGGGTACGATACTGAGGTTTTGGATAGTCCTTCCATTGGTGCCAGGATTTCCACTTGTTTGTGGATGGCTGGTCAAATGGTTGGTAGTCATACTGGTAGTACTCCTTGTGGGATGATGGATCTTGATGGTAGCGTTGATGTTCCCACGATGCAGGGTGAAGTGTCGCTGGTTCATGGCTGGGTTCATCACGTCCTAGATCATCATTGTCTGGTAGTACTTCTCGTCGACGTGGAGAGGCTGAACGCAAGGTGAGAGATGTCGCTCTGCTTGGACGTCTGGATGGATCCCTGGAAATCGAATGTCGTCTCCTGTGTGACGAACGTGGTCGAGAGGAGCGATGTGTTCGTCTGGGTGATGTGGCTCGACGAGGACTGCGTGGGACAGAGATTGGACGTTTGTCCGGTGCCCCACGGTGCCGGTGGGAGCGAGAGCGAGAGCGACGGTGAGTATGTTGTGGTGGTGGTGGAACTTCATCTGGTGGAGGAGGATGACTTGGAATAGGTGGAGAGACTTGAATTGGTGGTTGAGCGGGAGCAGAAGGTTGGCTCATGTTGCGCTCTTGGTTCTTGTCCACAAACGCTTGCATGCTGGATTCAACCATGTTCTTCATCTGTTGCATCATCTCTTCTGCATTGAAGGATACACTGGGTCCCGGTGGTGTGGATTGAGGTGCCACCGGTGTTGGTGGTTCAGGCACTGTCGTTGTGGACTGAGCTGGATGTGGATTGAACGTGGATTGGTGGAATGGAAGAAGTTGTTGGAGGTGCTGGATATGAGATTGAGCCTGTGACGCAAGTTGTTGATTCAGGATGGTATTTTGCTCTCTGAGAGCCGCCAGTTGTGCCTGAGTCTGAGCTTGAGACTGAGCCTGTGACTGTTGGTTCATAAGATCACCGCCACAAAATTGACTTTGAAGTCCCATCGTTTGCGGGTTCCAGAAGGTCCACATGTTGTCGGGAACGGCAGGATACCGTCCAGGAAACATGGCAGCACGGCCAGGTTTGTAAATTGCAAAATTAGTTCACAAAGAAAAGATGCATCCACAATGAACGTGCAGAGATCCCCTCATTAGGCTCAACGCCTGCGTTCACGTCAACCCTATCGACGGCTATCAGTGTTCAAATGAATTACGTGCACAGTTGAACCTCACCGAGAAACCAAAAAAGGAAGTAACCACACCTGTAAAGCATGTCCTCTTGCCTGAAGTTCCATGACAAAATTGCTGCGGGCAGTCTCTTGAAGCAACAGGAAGGTTGTTGTCGCGGCTTCCAGCTATGTGAAGCATGGTGGAGAAGGAAAAGGTGATGCCCAGTACTGCGGCAAGCAGTTTCAACAATCACTCGACCGACGTGTGAAACAATGAAAAAAGGCCAGCAGTTCACTCTACTTAGACGAATTCCTAATTCAAAAGTGTAAATTCAGACATCGTTTTACCGTCAATTTTTAGCCTAGAAAGGCTTTCCCCGAAGGGCTCATACCACCTTGTCGGACAACGGTATGAGTGACACACTTGCTCAGAAACATCTTATCGAATTACTGATGTGGAATGCATCGTACGTGCAAAAACACTTCAGTTAAACCTGACAGGAGATAGTGAATGACTAGGCGTGAGAAACAGTGAAGAAGAATTCTTTCTACGTCCTTGCTAGATGCAACTGTTCCATCTGACGATGTCAGCAGTAAATCAGATTGCGAAAACCGTGCAAACAGGAAAGTAAACAGATTGTTGGAAACCGGCTTGGTGGTTCTTGGGTTAGCCACGTCCCATAGCGAAGAAATGAAGCAGGTACGTGGAGCTGATCAGACTCCATATCCTAGTCAACTGCATGGAGCTTCGTTGGCGACAGCCATGCAGCGACCCTGTCGCCCCCTGCATGAAAATTGAAAAAGTAAAATCATAAAGAGTCAAAACAAAGAAGTAGTGCAGCGAAAACCGGATAGAAGTTTTACATCTATTCAGATGGTCCACGCACACACACAACACAACACAACACAACACAACACAACACCACACCACACCACACCACACCACACCACACCACACCACACCACACCACACCACACAACACCACACCACACCACACACACACCACACACACACCACACACACACACCACACACACACCACACACACACACAAGCCCCTTTGCGGCCGCGAGAGCCGCCCGCAAGTGTTCCCAATAGGTGGAACTAGGGTTGCCCCACGCGTTCAGTGTCCGTTTTGCTTTGCCATTTGCGCTGCGGTCTTTCTTCCGAGTTTTTATTTCTGGCAGACCACATCTTTCTTGGCATTGAGAACCTGGACAGTGGAGGAACAAATTGTTTCATTTTGGATAGTGATCGGATCCGGAGTTTTTCACTGGGCAAGCTTGGCACATCAATTCAGGAGGTGCGCCGTTGACAAGCGATTGACCAGCTCTCTCTTTTTATTTGTGATTGTGCAACAGATCTACATCAGAGCTCATCGTTGACATTTTTTATTTCACAAGGATTCTTTGAGGTTGACCCAACACTGTGGGGTGGCTCCCAACATCAGCTGTCTGGCCGGGATCAACCTCAATTGAACAACACTTGGACGTTGGACAGGAAGGACATTCCTTATACAGTACTTGCAATTTGACACGATCTTGAACAAGCAATTTTCTGGATTTGCCACAAACGACGGTGCTTGAGCCACTTGGCACTGACCTACAGGCTATACACCAGATTTGTACTCCAATTGGACACAGCTTGCTTTTCCTGATAGATCCTCCTGCAACGATCAACCTTGGCTAGCGTGCTGCCTTCACTGACAGAAACCTGCAACATTTTGATCTGGTGGCATAGAACCACCGTGGTGAGGACAAGGCGTATTTTTCAAGCAGTGGTGGAACTTGCATTCGAGGCGTATACAGTGTTCTAAAAACTGCCTGATTGAAACCCCATCATCATCAAATATTCTATAAGCATCAGATCATTGCGATAAGCCAGCCTTCAAACTAGACCAAAACTGCAAGCCTCCTGAGGGCATTGCGCAACTAAGGTTTCTCCCTAAACCTGTCCATACCCCTTAATAGCCTGACACATCTAAGTCCCAATTGCTCATAATCTGATCCCTTCTAAGTGAACAATAAACCCTAAACCCCTAACCACACATAGTGTGGCCACCAAGCACTGACCAAAAGCTTGCCGCAATTCCGGTCCCAAGTCCGGACGTGTAGTGTGAGAAACCATTCCAATATGATGACACCAACACTACACGGGGGTGAGGGTTATGGATTTCAGCCGTGGGAATCCATGGAAGCCGCCTTTAATTCTGACCACCTGACCAACCTACTAGAGGCGAAAGTGCACGGCCCACCGCCACCTATGGGCTACGGCCTGTTGAAAGACCTAACCAATATGAAGCAGATGACCCATGTACAGAAACGCAGCTTTAAACGTGCTTATGCACGAGCCCTACGAGATGGTGTTGCATGGTACCGTGGACAGCGCCTGACTCCCGGTGATTTTCCATCCAACATGCCTTGCCCAGTGAAATCGAGCCCCAGCAGACCAGCTGGTGTACCATCTAAAGCTCCCACCAATCGGGCCCTTCATCACCGACTCAATATTGTTCAGTTTAATGTTGGAGGCCTCTCCACCCATAAACTTGAAGAAATCAAGCAATGGGGACTTCACATTCAAGCTGATATAATTGACGGGTCATGGCATGCCTTGCATTCAGGAACCCCTGATGACCGTGCTGATGGTATCCTTGTACTCTTTCGATCCTCGACCATTCAGGAATCCCAAATAGGCAGTGTAGCTTTACTTCCTGGTCGACTTGTGCACATCAGGCTGCACTATCGTCACAGAGCCTGTGATATCCTGTGTTGCTACAATTTCATGGACGACCGGTCCACGGCTAGATTGCACCAGCGTCAACAGTTTTGGAACACCCTTGATGCCAGCCTTTCGAAGATCCCAAACCGGAACTCTCTATTAATTGCAGGTGACATGAACTGCTCGGTTAGCCATGATCCCCCCCATGTTGGTACTAGCTACTTCACCTGGCAGGGTAAACACCATCAAGGACCCCAACACAGAGACATGACTACCTTTTCTCAGATCATCCACAAACATCAGTTAACCGTTTTAAATGGCTGGAATGCCCAAAATGGACCCACCTATCACAATGGCCTTACAGCGTCAAGAATTGACCACTTCCTGATGCGTGTCAATGAGGCTGATGGAGCTGTTAAGTATTTGGATCATGCTGATATCATCCCCCTAAATGGAGCGGTTCACATACCCCTTTACTGCACCATCAAAAAATTCCACTTTTCATATAAAACCCCAAAATCCTTTTCAGGGTACACCTACTATCAACGGCAACAATGCCGTATAGACTGGAGGACGGGTGCTGAGACATGGCATCAGATGATGGCTGACACCCAGTCAGCCCTCTGCAACATGTACTGTCTCCCACATCAGGTTGATGATGATATCCAACTTTTCATGACACATTAAAACCTGGATTTCTGAATTCATATCCCGGAAAAACCAAAACACCCGTTCCTGTCCCTGACTTGCATGAAGGGATGATCCAACAAAAATGGTATTATCATAGACAGGTGCAGTCAAACACATCACTGACACTGCCAGCCTTGTTTCATGTTTGGAAATGCCGCAGCAAATACGCTGCTCTCAATCGTGCACACAGGCTGAGCACCAAACAGCTCAAAAAGCAGCGTTTTTTTGATCTGCTTGAGTCAGTGCAACGTGCTGCCAACCGCCACGACAGTTTTGAGGTTCATCAGATCATCAACAAATACACCCCAAAGCAGCCCAAAAAGAAGATCCAGTTGCGCAATGAAGATGGCACACCAGCATCACCGGATGAGGCCTTGCAGCTCACCCGGACCTTTGTTGAGGAAATTTGGCATGGCCCTGCCCAGGTTGACCTAGGATACAGGGACCCCCCTGGGGTACCCATATCGGTGGAAGACCTCGAGTATGAATTGCAAAGACTTCCTCACAATAAGTCAGTGGCAAAGCCTTTTATTCCTGCCCTGGTAGTGAAAATGCACTCCCACCTCATTGCCCCATGGCTCCATGACCTGCTTACAAAATGGTGGTCTACAACAGATCCTTATATACCTCTTGTTTGGAAAAGAGCCTGGGTGACGCTCATCCCCAAACCCCATAAGAGCCCGACTAAGGTAAGTAACCTCCGATGTATAGCACTGCAGGAGCAACTGGCCGTGGGACCAGCCCTAAAAAGTCACCCCCAATTTGCTTTTCTCCCCAACAGATCAACAGGAGATGCCATCAGACGTGTTGCAGCCCACTGTGAGGAAGTCAGATGCCTTGTGAAGACCCAAAGACGCTCTGCGCATCAAAGGGCTGCACAAGTTGAATTTTATGCCTGTTGTGGGGGCCTACAAATATTCCTCGATATACAGAGGGCTTTTGATCAACTGCCCCGCCAACAGCTATTCGAGCATCTAGACACACTGCATGACATGCCGGCGCTCACAACTTTATTGGCCCAATGGCACTCCCACACTGATTACTGTGTGGAACAATCTGGCCAATCAGTTTTGGTCCCGACGGGACGTGGAGTGCGCCAGGGCTGTCGCGCAGCCCCTCTTTTGTGGAACGTTTTTTTGGATCAACTTTTTCAGAGACTGGCCGCAAAAATTTCCCCTGACTGGGCCAGAAAAACGGTCACAGCTTTTGCTGATGACATTCAAGGATCCATTTTCCGATCACGCCAACAACTGTTGCTTGAACTTGCCAGAATTGGTATGCTCTTAGATGCCCTTGAAGCCATGGGTCTGACCCTATCCCTCGAAAAATCCTACATTTTGATTGAAATTGCGGGCACGCACAGCCGTAAAATCAAATCCAAACTCCTGAAGCAGGAGGGTGCCATCACCTTTGTAGAGATACCTCGAGCAGATGGATCATTTAGCCGCATTCCAGTCAAAAGAAAAGCTGACTACCTTGGAACATGTTTGAGTTACACCGCGTTTGAACAATTGACATTCTCCAAAAGGGTTCAGTGTGCCAGAATCACGTTTCATCGCCTGCGCAGGTGGTTGAGTTCACCACACATTGCATTGCACCATCGACTGCAGCTTTGGAGGGCCAGTGTTTATTCCACGCTCACATATGGCATGTGGGCAGTTAACATCACCTTGCCCATCCTTAAAAACTATCAACAGATAGTACTGGGAATGTACAGGAAGTTGACACGCAACCACAGTTTTCGCACTCGTGAATAGCATCGAGCCATCATGCACAGATACAACCTGGAACACCCGCTCCATATGCTGATGCGCCATGCCCAGCAGCTCAAGTGTCTCACAGGCCAGAGAACTCAGCTCCTGAGACCTGATGACATTGTGCTCACAGTTGATTGGAGTAACCTACAACAAAACTTGCAGCTCATGACTGTGGCCCTTGAGGTGCAAGCACCCTTGAATCCATATGCAGACAGCTCCTTGGAGGTGCCACTGCCCCTCATTTATGCCTGCCAATCCTGCTCTTTTGTGGCAACCTCGATTGCCAACCTGCGAAGGCATCAAACCACTGCGCATGGTCAGCCACAATTCAGGACCAGCTTAGCGCATGCCATGTCATGTTCTATTGGAGGTTTACCCCAATGCACTTTTTGCTATCAAGTTTTTGGCACATGGAGACAATTCCAAGTTCACCTTGATAGACAATGCTGCCAGGTGCGTCCATGTGACCAACGCGTGAACCTCGATGCCCTCCTGCGAGAAGAAGAAGAAGCGCGCATTTTGCGCCTGCACCAGGGACTCACTGAGAACCTGATGAGCAAGCCCTTTGGCCCAGATCTGATACAGCTGATCAGGGACCGAAACTGGAACAGCCTGGTGGACCATCGACAGGCCTGTGAATTCCTAGCTGAACAGTGCTGCATATGTGACTTCCATTTCAGCAGACCGCAGGAACTGCACAGCCATCTGCGTGTGCACCATCCGAAGTGGATTCCTCACACATTCACCAAGGCATCACAGCTGTGTCGTAGTTATGCCAGCAACTCCCCGTGCAGACACTGTGGGCTTAGCTTTCGACAGGCCCATTCATGCCCCATTCTCACACAGGTTGCCATGATGCTCTTGTATATGCCAGCTGAAACAGGTCAAGTGGACTCTCCACCGAAGGAAGCCCTGCGGTGTGAGGTCTGTGGCTTCAGAGCGCATAGCATTCATGATATTCACAGGCATTTGGCTGACACCCATCGTCTGGCATTTCATGATTGGCAACCGGAGAGGGACTTGATGGGAAGTGATCCAGCCTGCTCACACTGCGCCAAGTGTTTTGCAGATGTTTCAGCAGTGCGGCAGCACGTGACGTTGGGACAATGTTCGATGTTCGACCCAAACCGGTCCCCATATTTGTTGCCGATTGCCCCAATTTGGAATCAACTTTTTCAAACTGGTGACCTTCAGCCATTCTTGATGGACCCCATGGTCAGAATGCGCATGACGTTGCGCTGTGCCCAATGCGATGCCCGCTACACAAGGTCCAATGACTTAATGTTGCACCTGCAAACTGCTCACTCAGCTATGTGGACAAGAGCCCAGGCGCTGACGAGGTTCCTCCTGAAGGTCTGGTTGCCTGATCACTCATGTGTTTGCAACCCAAGTCTCAACAAGGTCACCTTGACCCATGTGTGCCCCTTTTACCGCCAGATTGCCATGTTGGCAACAAGATCGACAGTGGAGATTTTTCTCCCCTGGCCTGCAGACAGAGGAGCACTTGAATCCATGTTGAGCCACAGCCATCGAAATGCGGCCTGTGCCACCCTGATGGAAGCAGTTCATGTTAGACAAGTGCGCATGATCTTGCGGGACCCGGCACTGCAGGAATTCCTCAGGGAGCACTGTGTACTATGTGGTGGAGCTTTTCATCCAGCCCTCTTGAGAGACCATGTGCTGCAGGTCCATGCCTCAAAGCTGGAAGATGTAACAGATCTCCTACCGTTTTTGTATGAAGAATACACACAAGCGGCCCACACAGACTACCAATGTGCACAGCGCAACCAAATCTTCAATTTGCCCTTGCTTGGAGACCCACAGCTCTCAGAACAACACGCCAGGCAGACTTTGGTTCTAGCCCATTTTCAACAGTGCCCAGTCATCCATCAATTGTGCCTTTTGCTGCAACATGGACGCCCCAGAAGGAGCGACACTGACCGGCCAAGAAACCCAGGAGCTTCTGGATGCCTTCGGAGCAATGGCCCCTTTGCTGAAGAAGTCCAACATGGAAGCAAGCGACGGAGGAAGGGACCACAAGAAGGCCAAGACTCAGCACAAGCCCAAAGAGACAGACAAGCACTGCACGTCGATCTCCAACAGGTGGTGCAACAGATGGCCAGACTTCTGCTGCGCCTGGACATGGATCAGAACCTGATGAGAAGACAAGACTCCTTCGTCTTCTACATGCAAATGGAGCCGGAGTCCGTGATCCATGTGCTGAGCGCCAAGGCCAAGACATGGCATGCAGAAGTGACCCAACAGACGGGCCAAATGAAGACCCAAGAATGGAGGCCACTCCGAGCCACCCTGATGAACACCCTTGCACTGACCTTGCAGCACCGCCTGATGAAGCTGTACCAGAGCCAGCCATCGGATCCACTCTTTCAGACAGCCCTGCAGCATCGGCTTCTGAACGACAAAGGGGAGTTCTACTTTCACAGATGGGACGCGGCCAGTCAATCCCTGACACAAACCGACCAGACACCAGTGCCCATGGAGCGCATGAAGCGGTATGTGGACCAGTTGGTGGAGAACACAATGGATCCTGCCAATACAATCAAATTCCACAGCTTGAAGCCCTCCGATCAGAGGATGACACCGTGGCTCCTGCAGATCTCCCTGCGGTGCGACGAACTCCAGACGTTGTTGGAGGCACTGGTGGGCTGCAAGATTTGGTGCCTACTAGGGGCATCGTTGAAGGGGCACACCCTCTACCAAAGCCATCAAGCCCAGCAGCTGAAGAACATCCTTGGGAAGGGCAAAGGCAAGAGTACAGGGAAGGGCAAACCCACCAAGTGAACCCTGCTGCCACATGGGAGCGCCTGGTCCTCATGGACGCCCTCAGCCGGCTGACCCTCAGCAACACGGGCAACCAATGCTTTGTGAATGCTGCTGTGATGGCGACACTTTGGGCAATTCTGAGCCGGGTTGATTTTCAGTTTTCGGACTTGGGGCCAGAGGCCACCCTGATTGCCAGCAGTATCATGTCATTTTCACTGGGTCCTCTTACCCTAGCTGATCAGACGTGGTTCCAAGATGTGTTGCACTCATGGCCAAACCCCACAAATCAGGGTGATCCAGTGGAGTTTCTTTCACATGTTCTCAGGGGAATGCATTTTGGCGGCTTCAACATGAAGTGGGAACGTCGAATGCAAATCAATGAAATCATCCGTGTTATGGACCACAACGATGCCTTGCGTCCAATCACGGTACAATTTGATGAACTTGACCCAGATGCCATCCAGCATGGTTACACGGCACTGCAGACGATGATCAACTCATGGGAATCTCAATATGGCATGCAAACAGCATTGACTGATCCGACAGCTTTGGTTTGCATCCATGTTGACCGCTTCGTCCACCAAGGCAAATCATCAGTGACGAAAAGTGAGCGCCCTATTCACTTCCGTGGAAGCCTGACTTTGCCAGTGTTTGACAATACAGGACTTACAATCAGCAGACGTGGATACCAGTTACTGTCGGCCATAGCTCACTTAGGTGCTGATGAAGAGGGTCATTGCAGGGCTATTCTCAAAACGTGGCCTCAGGCCGCCCCAAACCAGGTCAATTTTCTGGTCACTGATGATGGACAGCCGCCGCAGAGGATCTGGGAAGAACCGATGTGGTTCAAGCAGAATGTGACCTGCTTCCTGTTCTGCGACTGTGACAGTTTAGACCTTTTCAGAATGCCAGCCCTGCCTGACCCTGCACCTGAGACGCCAACCACAGATTCCCCTAGTCCTGCAGACCCAGAGCTGAACACCTTGCAGAGCCTGATCCGTGCCATGCCAAAGTAGATGTTCACACAAAGCGATGTTTCTGAGCCCATCCAATGCACCATTGCTGAACTTTGCAATCGGTAGGGTAGTCCAGTCATTCCCAGCCTGTGGCCACACTGCCGTTTCACCCAGCCGACACCCCCTTAAGCCCTCACTTCCTGTGAGTGATGTCCCCCAAAAAAAAAAATGAAAGGGCCAAGAGGCAAATTGCCCAAAAAAAACCAAAAAAAAAAAGCATGGATTTCCCGAGCATGAATTCAATGCGCAGCAGCACAGATCTGTCAAAGGACAGCACCATAGCTCATTTTGGCAGTGTGGCGTTTCACCTCACCTGCATTTTGCAGTTTTTTCCACAGGAGTTTTTGGGCTAGAGCTGCCTGCTCCTCGGTAGGTTTTTCACAAAGACCTCCATCCCTGGAGGCCAACATGAGTCATCCACATGTTGAGGCGCGCACGAGACTTTTCTTGGAAAAGGAGTGTAGGAAAAAAACAAACACACACACACAAGCCCTTTGCACTCACGAGTAGTGCACTCAAGAGTGAGGAACTCAGCGATAGCCAGTCTTGCTAGCTTCCCTCGTGTGATCGTAGTGTGAGCCATAGGACAATTCGGTTTTGGTGATTGGATCAATTTGGGCGGACATTTTCCTTGGATTCATCAGATTCACAGAGCGTGGGACAACAGAGAGCTTGGAGGTACAGTGGAACGAATCTGACAACGATCATTCTGAACGTAATTTTACCTGCTGGACAAAGATCCCTTGTAATTTTACGGCTCATCTGGTGACAACGATGCAAATTTTGCTGATTGGCTATCTCCTTGCAGTGCTGCTGATATTTTTTCATCAATCCGAGTGCAACCCGGTCCCAAATCCGGGGGTTCTGCAGTTCAGTGTCATCTGTCATTTCAGCGTATTGTTCATGGCACAGACACACTGGAATCAAAAACTAATTTGGGAATATGCTGAGAAGGATAGAACTGCGAATCAGGGTGAGGGTTCTTGTGGTACCACAACCACAAGAGGAGCAACAACATGGGAGCAAGAGTTCATCAATACAGGTGCGAAATGTGGAGAACCACTTCCAATGGGCTCCGGCCTAAATCAGAGGAACCCTAAGTACACCCAAGTGCAAAAAAGAAGCTATCACCGTGCATGCAAAAGAGCGATGCAATTTGGATCAACCTGGTATCGTGGCCGTGTAATTGCCCATGCGGAATTTCCAAGGGAGCTACAGCAACGCATCTCTGCACAGATGCACACCTGTGAAAGCAGGGTGGTGCGCCAACCCATACGGAAGGACACCACGAAGAAAGCACGGCTACGATTCTTGACATGGAATCCAGGTGGAATGGCACAAGGCAAACTAGTGGAAATGCGCCAATGGCTTCAACAACATCCACATGATGTGGTGGTCTTACCAGAAACCAGGTGGGGATTTGACCGATGTTGGAGTGATGACAAATGGCATTATGTGCATAGCCACACAGGACAACACAGGGTAGGAGGTATCTTAGTGATGATTGCGAGACATCTCATTGATGCTGAACACATTGGTTTTGATGCGGTTTTGCCGGGACGTATACTCCATATCAGGCTCCATTTTCTTTCTTCTGCACTTGACCTATTGGCGGTTTATCAGTTTGCTGATTATTCTAGTCCTTTACAACAAAAATCTCGGCAACAATTTGGGGAAAAACTCGACAATCATCTCTTTACTTTGCCTTCTCGGAATCAAATGATTTGTTGTGGAGATTTTAACTGTGCCCTGGCAGCCGATCCACCATGGACGGGCACTGGCACTTTCAGGTGGAAAAACCAGCAACACCGAGGGCATCAGCACAGAGACATGCACCATTTTCATCAATTGCTCCGTCGGCACTCTCTGACAGCGGCAAATGCCTGGTCAGCAGCAATAGGACCTTCCTTTTTCCACACAGAATATGCGGCAAGGATTGACTTTTTTCTAATTAGATTGCACAGTTGTGATGGTGCAGCCAAGAGTTCATACTATTTGACTGAGGCGGCATTTCTTCCAATTAATCAGACCCATCATTTTCCTTTAGTTTGTACTATACCCAAAAACCATGTGAAGTTTCACCAACAGCAGTATAAACCAGCTTGCAACTATCGACAGCGATTGCATTGTCGACAAGCCAGTTTGCAGGAAACGGACGATTGGTTGCAACTCAGTCGACATGTGGCTGCATCCTGTATAAGTCGATTGACACAGGTGGATTCCAATGCTGCCAGTATTACTGCACTGCATCAAGAGCTCATCCCAACATTTCAGGATCTTTTTCCGGGTAAGCCTCAGCAGTCATATCATGAGGATACGGACATGGTCCAACCTGTTTTGCACAACAAGTGGTATCATAGGAAATGTATCCGAATGTATAGCCATGACTCATGGACTCATTCCCTCCGAAAATGCTTTCAAGTGTGGTACCATTGGCGGCAGTACAGACAGAGACAACGAGAGCAGCAACGAAATGTCAGGTGGGCACGGCACTGCAGATTTCAGACACTCTGTGCAGAAGCACAAGAGGCAGCTGAGGCACATGATGCACATGCCATGTTTCAAATCATCAATCGGCACACACCCAAACGACCCTTGGTGCGGGCTCGCATCAAAACAGAGGATGGCAAAATTGCAGACCAGTACATGGCACACAGAATGACACTTGAGCATGTGGCTCATACCTGGCAGGGACCTGAAGACCTGCAACCAATTTCTGATTGCACTCCAGGCGTCCCCATTGCATTAGAAGACATTGAGCAGGCCATCATGCAGCTCCATCCAAATAAGTCAGTTGCATGCCCATACTTGCCAGCGATTATTTGGAAAAGTGCTCCACATGAGGTAGCCTGCCTAATTCACCAGAAATTGGAAGCCTGGTGGTTGAGCCCACGGCCGCATATCCCACAGGAATGGCGGGATGTTGGCTGTTTTTCCTGCCAAAACCTGGTAAGCCCGGAACACATCCACGGCAGATGAGACCGATATCTCTCATGGAACCGTTAGGAAAACTTGTTCTAGGGTTACTAACGGCTCAACTCAAAGCGTTTCATCTCCAGAGATTGTGTGCTGAACCACATTTTGGGTTTCTTCCCAAAAGATCTGCCTTAGATGCAGTACGGAGGGTTGCCACTCATTGCATGGAAGTTAGGACCTTAATTGCGATGCAGCGAAGAACCATTGCAAGGCAAATTGCCAATCCTCCACAGTTCACTTTTTGTGGAGGCCTACAGATGTATTTGGACCTACGACATGCATTTGACAGTGTACACAGACCTCGACTTTTTCAGCATTTGAAATTTCTAGGGACTCCTGAGCATTTACTGCATCTCATTACCCAATGGCACATTGGAACCAGGTACAATTTGATGCATCAGGGTAACACAACCAGCATTGATGTCAATGTCGGCCTCCGACAAGGATGTAAAGCGGCTCCGTTATTATGGGTGTTATTTATGAACCATTTTTTGCAACAACTCACATTCCACATTGACCGAAATTGGATCAACAAGGCCATTACGCTTTTTGCGGACGATATACATGTTGGCACTACCTTTTATTCCATTGAAGAATATCATCGATCTCGGCACAGGTTTGGATGTATCCTGGATGTTCTCGAAAACCTGAAACTTGAACTGTCGTATGAAAAGACTTTTATCCTCTTAGCAACTGCAGGCTCAGGGGTACAAAAAGGTCTCAAGAGTTCAATTGATCGCCAGAAAGATGGTGTCACCATGCTCATACCCAGAGCAGGCCGTGCTGACAGCAGAATTCCGCTTAAATCCAAAGGGAAATACCTGGGAACCGAACTGTCATACGGGCATTTTGAAATGCAGACATGGAAACTTCGTTTGAAAGCTGGCAAGAGTGCATTTGCCAGACTCAAATGCTGGTTCAAAAACAAGCAACTGAGCATGCCTCATCGAGTACAACTTTGGCAAACATGTGTGCACACTATACTGGTTTATGGGTTATGCGCTACTCATATCAATGTCAAGATTTTGCATGAATACCAACAAACTGTGTATCAAATGATGAGGACGGTACTGCATGACCACGCATACAGAACTCATAACTCACATCAGCAGGTTTTTCATGCACATGGACTTGAACTGCCGCTACAACTCCTTGCCAGACATGTTGCCCGATATTGGCAGCGGCTGCAAAGGCGGGATCTAACCCTTCAGCCCACAGACATTGTGCATAGAGTCGATTGGTCTCATTTGCCGGAAATGCTCAAGCTGATTCAATGTGTTGCTGAAAGCACCATTGAGGCCCCGCTTGATTTCGACGCATCCGTCCCAGTGCAGACGCAGGCAATGCACCGGTGTCCGTATTGTTCCTTTCAATCACAAAGCATTCCAAACCTGAGGAGACACATGACACAAGAGCATGGCTGCAAACATTACAGAACTTCCTCTAAATCCCCCTTAGAGATGACGGTTAATGGTAAACCCCAATGTAACAATTGTCATATGGCTTTTACAACTTGGAGGAGATTCTTCATTCATGTTGAACGAAATTGTTGCCAGGTCAGCGATACCACACCAGTGGTGCACATGACTGGGAATCCTACAGTTGGGGAATCCACCGGGGTCACAACACCAGCGTTGGCAGTTGATGCCGAAGGCCCATCCATATCACAGATGCGATCATCAGATATTCAGCTTGCGGTCATGACTGAACCTTTTTGGCCTCTTTTGCACAGTGTGATCACCACAGCGCAGTATGACAGATTGACAGAGGACCCTCGCCTTGGGGACTATTTGACACACCAGTGTGTCATTTGCAGTAGCTGGTGCAACCGATGCCAGGAAATGAACGCACACCTGCGGTTACACCACTCGGAAATGATGCAAGGTGTACTGGCTCGAGGAGCACAAATTACACACCAGCTGGACCCTCAAAGCCCGTGCCAGCTGTGCGGTAAAACATACCGGAGAAGTCATTGCTGTTCTGTGGCCAATCAGGTGGCACTCTTGCAATTGCTCCGCATGAACATGACTGACAAGGCTGATGCTATTAAGACATGTATCATTTGTGATCAAGTTTTGGAAGGGTTGGGCCCACTTCATCGACATTTGAGCAGTTTGCACAACATCAGTGTCAACGATTGGTGCCCTTCCAGGGACTCCTTACAGAATTCAGATGCATGCTCTCACTGTGGCGCCACATTTCTGTCGCGCTCTGGATTGCAGCGTCACATATTGGATGGAAAGTGCCAATTCTTCAATCCAGCAGCATCACCGCAGACACTGCAGGCGGCAGACAAGTGGCAGGAGATCATGCATCATGGGGATCTCACCAGAGCGGTCTTGAGCCCAGCACAACGACAAGATCTTACGCTGGTATGTCAGCTCTGTGGGGCCAGGTATGGACGCCAGAATGATTTGGGAGCACATCTGATGCAATCACATGGAGCCTTATGGAAGAGTTCCCAAGAGATGTTGCGCTTTCTCATTCAGACCGTGCAGGCTAGACATGGGTGCCAATGTAACCCCAGCTGCCATGAGCAAGGCCAAACTCACATCTGTGCCTTGCTGCGTCAATTTGCCATGATATACATGACCAGTCCAAGAGAGGTATTGATTCCAACTACCTTCACGTCAGATTTGTTGGCAGAGCTACTGCAGCCCATTGCTCATGTTCCCATGTATGCTGCATTGGAAGTTGCCTTGCGCACACGCCAATTTCACAAGCTTTGGCAAGTCCCTGGCCTGGTAGGTATGCTGAAACAGTGGTGTGTTCGATGTGGCAACCAGCATCATCCTGCAGCCCTGGTTATACATCACTGGCAACAACATGGTGACCATAGCCAGTGGGCCACCCAGCTGAAGTTCCAGATTGTTGCGTGTTTATTGAAACTGCAAGATCAAGATGTGCAGTGCAGTTTTTGTGGCCTCATGTTCAATCCTCCCATGCAGGAAGGAAGTGCAATTGATCCAGAACGCTTTGTGAACATGCAGACGCATTTTGCCTCAAATTGTCCTGTAGTCCATCAGACTGCATTGCTCTTGCAACCCATCCATGGACGACACACTGATGGAACTCGATCCCTACGATCAAGAGCTGCTGGAGTCGTTTCGACAATTGGGACCGCTGCTTCAAGCGGCCAGCCAATACAAGAGAGACAAGGACGAAGAGCCGCAATTCAAAAGAGCCAAACAAGAAGCAGAACCAAACGGCAACGAACTCAGCACGAATCGTCAGCATATCCAAGGAGCCATGATGGGAATGATGAAGGTGATGGCCACATTGATCCTTCAACACGAAAAGAGCATACAACTTCTCCATCGACAAGACTCATTCATTTACTTCTGTCAGGTCAGTCCTCAAGGGGCAGTGCCGGTGCTAACACAGTTGGCGGTGGATTGGAAGAACCTGAAGCAGCAGAACCCGGACAGTCCGGCCATCCCCACGATGCGCACCTTTCTGTTTCGGGGCATGATCAAGGAAGTGCACTTGAGAGTTCAAAAGATGGGGAAGAGCCGCAAGGGAGAGGACCTCTGGGACAAGGCCATTCAACGGGGGATCTTGCAGCAAGACGGCTCTTGGACCTATCAGAAGTGGAATCCCGAGGAGAAACGATTGGTGCAGGCAGCGAAATCAGCACTGCCGATGGACCGGCTGTTGAGACAGCTTCAGCACATGGAGGAGCTATTGGAGGACAACTCTCATGTCATCCGATTTCACTCCCTGAAGGCCCAGGCCACCATCGTTCCTTGGTATCTCCAAATCAGCATGCGGCAGGAGGAGTTGTGGCTAATCTTGGGGGAGTTGCAACAGTTGGGAATGTGGAGCCTCCTGGGCTTATCCATGAAAGCCCACAGCCAATCTCAATCCAAGCAGGCGCAGCTCCTCCAACAATGTCTGCATCAGAATGGACCCAAGAACAAGGGCCGAGGGAAAGGCAAGCATCAGGGGAAGACCAAAACCAAGTGATTGACAGGGCAGCGTGCCAACTCCGGCAACGCCTGAGAGATAGCCTCCGAAATCTCATCATGAACAATGGTGGACATCTGTGCTACGCTAATAGCGCTGTGCAGGCCATGATGTGGGCTTTTCTTTCACGCACCACCTTCACGGAAGCTGATTGGGGGGAATACTCAGCGCTGTTCAATTCCTTGCTTTCAAGACCCAATAATTTACCCCAGCAAATTGACACCATTCAGGGGTTTCAAACATTGGTTGACAATTGGCCAGAATGGATTGGACAGGCAGACAGCATTGAGTTTTCCAGCATTTTGTTACAAGGGGTAGCTTCTAGATGCTGTTCAAATCGTTGGGAAAGACGCGTGCAAGAAAGCCAAAACCTCACAGTCTATGACCAAGGTGATGCACACATGCCTATCACATTGCAATTGGATTTAGAACTTACAGACAGTGGCACAATCCGACTTGTCGACCTGATTAGGCACTGGCACCATGAGTGGGGAATGAGCGCAGGCTTGGTCACTTACACTGACCTTATTTGTCTGCATTTGGACCGCCTTGTCAAAACACCACAAGGACAGTTGCGCAAGGATGCTACCCCCATTGGGTTCTGTTGGGGCATTCAGTTTCCCACCTTCACCGATGGTATCGACTGTGAATGGCATGGATATCAGGTCATGGCTGCCATTTCACACACAGGTGACCAATCTCAGGGCCATTATCAGGCGCTGTTGAGGGTAGGACATGCAGCACACCCAGGACAGGCTCCGGCGCTCTGGCTGCATTGTGATGACAATCGTGCCCCGCAACCATGCTGGCATATGCCTCCTGATTTTGCCAGCCAGGTCACATGTTTCTGGCTGTGTAGATGTGAAATTTTGGATCATCATGATATGCGGATTGTACAGGATCAATTGGATACACAAAACATGGCTGATGAGACCCTAGATCAAGCAATGATGGACTTGCTCAGTGACCTGCCCTTGCCTGCGCCTTGAACGTGGCAGTTACGGTAAACAACAGACTGGGAATGCTCCAATCAGACTGTTATGACATATGTTTCATAGCCGGTACCCGCAGTACCAAGTCAGAGGCATGAGTTCAACTGTTTCACTTGAATACAGGTTCTATCCATTGCTTGCACCAGGGTGGCAGGTGGTTTTCACTTTGTTGGTTTCACAGACATTAGATTTCATTGGATGAGTACACTGCCTTCATTTTGCAAAATACCGTGTGGCATTTTGCCAGCAATGGTTTTATAGTATATGACACAACGTGGAGTTGCACTGTGCTTATTTCGATGATCATTAGTGCCTGGTTTTGACCGCACATGCATCCAGTCATCCGACTGGTCCATCCATGCCCTTCGGCAACCCCGAAGCGTATCCCTTGGTGTAGAAGAAAAAAAAAAAGAGAGAAAAGGGCCAAGAGGCGAAAAGCCCATGCAGCAAAAGCCCCCCCCCCCCCAAAAAAAAAAACTAGATCTGTCTCACAATGCGCCCAAAGTGGCTGACCCAGTTTGCAGGCAGCCCAGTGGCAGCACAAAGAGGACATGTGGACATAGCCCTGACGACCTGCGTGAGTTCTTGCGTTTCAGTTTTGTGCAATTGCATGGATGGCATTTCCCAGGCCTGCCATTTTGGCAACAAATCTTATATGGGTGCTACTTTGACTATGCGCCATTTTGGCGATGGCTCCATGTTTACAATCTTTCACTGCCTTGCGCGTGCCATGTATCTTGAAGCCGCAGCTGTTGCACATTCACCCATGTCCTGTCTCCCCTGACAGAGGACCCTGTGCATGCCCTCTGCAACCCAGAGTGTACCCACCCCAGTATATACTAAAAAATAAAAATAAAAATAAAAAAAAAAGAGGAAGGGGCCAAGAGGCGTAAAGCCCATGCAGCACGAAGCCCCAAAAAAAAAAAAAAAGGAATAGATCTGTCTCACAATGCGCCCAACGAGGTTGACCCAGTTTGCTGGCAGCCCAGTGGCAGCGAGAGCAGGGCATGCTGCTTTGAGTTACCACCAGGCACCGTCCTGACGACTTGCCTACATTCTTTTGCGTTGCAACCCTGTTTAATTTGCAATACTGGCATTTTGCCAGAGCCTGCCATTTTGGCACAGAACAAGCCTTGACGGCTGATCCCCCAATTGCGCCGCTACGTCATTAGATCCTGGTTTTATTTCTTCCAGCAGCTTGATGGTACCAACAAACAATGTTGCTGCTGCTGTTGAACTTCATCCCATGTCCTGTCTCCCCTGACAGATGACCTTGTGCACGCCCTCTGAAACCCAGAGTGTACCCACCCATGTATTCAAAAAAAAAGGGGCCAAGAGGCGAAATGCCCACGCAGCAAGAAGCCAAAAAAAAAAAAATTGTTGCTTCCTCATACGATGACCGGTTAGCTCGTGTTTCACCCATCCAAGTCTTAGTCAATCCTGCCAGTCATGCTGCCAACCGAAAGTGCCCTGAATCCCAAAAGAAAACTGCACGCCTGCCGCAATGGGCAGCTGCATCAGCTTTTCTTGACATTGCCCGCTGCATTCTCCGCTGTGATGCCCGATGCCAGCCGTTTTTGTAATTTCATATTTTTCCAAATGCACGATCTTTGCGGAGCACTGGACTCCACTGAATGCCGTTACAGAGCAAACAAATTGCCATGGATCTTTTTCCCAATCCAGACCATGGCTGATAGGAATTCTTAGGGACCTCGAATCAAGATTCTCACCCAGAGAACCGGCAATGGTAACATACCAGAGCTGAAGTGAACGCCAGATTCTTTCAGAAAAGGTGCGTAGG